CCCGCCGTTGCAGGCGGCGCCTCTCACTGCTGCAGCTCCCGCTCCACAAGGACTTTGCCCTGAACAGCCCAGCAAAAGCAGCCAGAGCCACCGTGGGGCACTTTTTCGGGAAAGGCACCTCAGCAAAGCAGTTGGGAGTCCTACCAGCAGCTCAGAAGAAGGGGAAGAGCCAGGGAACTGGAGCAGCCGGACGACTTCGACAGAGGCAGAGCTGCTCTTGACGTGCTGAGCTTCCTCCTCTCCAGCGCAGTAAGTGTCCCGCAGGCCCTAAAGCATAAATTTGCAGGTATTAATGCTTACCTTCCCCAAGAGAGGCACTTGCTAGCTTTAAAAGCATACCTGCTGGGCAGAGATAACGTGCTTAAAGCTGTTTGGCAAGCGCAGATCGGATACAACACTGAGCAAGTCACATCCCCTGCCAACCGTGTCGCGGTTCCCAAGAAAACACGTGTTGGCGTCCCGCTCCGCGGCGCCTCCGCTCGCTATCTCCCACGGGCACGCGCCGCTCGGTGCCGCCGTGCCAGGCAGGGCAGCATCGCGGGTCGCGCAGCCTTTTATCCCTCAGGTACGTGGCGCTTGTGCAAACCCTCCTGTCCCCGCGCGGCACAGGCCGAGCGACGGCTCCCTGCTCCGCACGCCTGACCCCGTTATCCCGGGAAACCTTCGCGACTCAGCGGCTGTTTGCTCCTGTTGCTATGACAGGGAGAAGAGAGGGAGGCCGGAGATAAGGACAGGGGGAGGCGCCGGCTCGGGGAAGGTCGGGTGCTGCAGGTGTCTCGTTCACCAGGTTTAGCACCCTGGTGCTGTGGGGGATTTCAAAGCATTGGACTGTTTTTATTCCCCCAAGGCCACGCAAGCAGGACAGAAGATGCATATTTTGCTACTGAGATGAGGCCATGTCTTGGGGACAGGGAGGGGACGGGGAATCAAGAGGACTCGGGTGAGCACAAACATCACCGTGGTTGGGCCAACAGCAATGGAGAAAACACAGTGCCCACAAAACCCCAAGAGCTTTTAAGAAACCGACTTCCTCCAAGTGTGTCGCGCCACAGAGGTTTGATCTGAGCAGCACCAATCCACCTGGAACGCTGCTCGCATTAACTCCTGCAGACTTTCCCTTCCTGCGCTTGCTGCTCAACTTATGCAAGGCCAAGGCCCTGGCCCCCTTGGGCTCTCTACGGATAAACCCCCAGGGCCGGCGGCAGCACCGCGGAGGGAGCCGGGGCCACCCCTATGGAATATTCAGCCTTACAGCTGCGAGTGAAGGACGCGTCCCAATGGAGAGGAGCTCCCACGAGGAGCAACAGGACCCACCGAGGGGGTGAGTTCATGGGGACACCAAAGGAGGCTGCTGAGCTGCTTCCCAGCCGCAGCAGAGAGAAATTGAATAGCTCCTGAGCAAACAAAGTTTGCTGAGGATGAGGAAACGAGGCACAGGAGGCAGCCGCCCCACATGCACGAGCGCAGCTCCTCGACACGCAGCAAAAGCCTCAATACGGGTTCTCCCCAAACCCGTTAGTAGTTACACGGCCAAGCAGGGGGACACGTTCGCTCCCGACATGCAGGGATACCCCAGAGACCTCCTGCACAGCCGGAGTCTGATGCAGCCAAGGGGGTTCTTGGAAAAACTCAGACAGAGCAGAGAGGACAGACAGACAGAGACCAGGCCAGAGCTCGCCGAGAGGGCCCCGGCCAGAGCGGGAGGACAAACCAACCTGCTTCATGCGTGACCTCGGGCGAACCAGGAAGACGTGGGGGGCTCGGCAGCAGCAAAGGCCGGGCACTTTTGGGGCAGAACACGCCACTTTCAGCCCTTCCCCCCTTCTGTCTTTTTTTTCCACCCCCAAAAAAACCCTTCTCTCTTAGGACACGACTTAAAAACCCCCCGAAACCGCCGCCTCCCCCGGCCGGTCCCGTCT